ACGGAGCAGCTCAGATCACCAGCGTTCCCAGCCTTTGGTTGTTTCAAGCCCCTCTCTCCCTTGCCCCTGCCCCTCACCCAACACAGACGCAGACTCAACTCCTTTATTTTTCCTCTCCATCTTCTCTCTGACTCTCTCCTTCTCCTCTATTTTGTGCTTTCCTCTTCTCTCCATTCCCCACTCGCTGCTGGCGCTTAGAGCACAAGCTGCCACGCTTGGCCCTGGAGAGCCGAGGTGCACAAGCTTTCGACCGCCTGCTGCCAGAGCAGCTTGGGCTGGTGGCTGGGTTCCAGAGCCTCAAGTCCTGGGGTGGGCGACCCATCGCCACGGCCGGCTACACTGCAGGAGCAGGGAGAAGATGGGAGTGGCTCTCAAAGTCCTGCCTGCCGCCACCGGAACACATCTGCAAGGGAGGGTAGCTTTGGAGTCATGGGGTGAACTCCTGACCCCATTGAAGTCAACGGCCAAACCTCCATCCACTTCAACAGGGTCAGGATCTCCCCCATTCTGTTCTCCCCGCCCACACGGCACCTGCCCGTCCACGCAGGGCTAAAATGACAAAGGAAGTGGCAGGAGCCTAAGTCCTGCCCGAGCAGCTTAATGAGCGTTGCAATAAACTCAAACCCCGAGTTGCGCCAAGGAAGGCTACGTAGGATATCGCTCTGATTTGGGAAATGACATGAGTGAAGGCTACCCTAACCCACACGTGCAAGAGGGCAGAGTCAAGGTTACGCACGCTCAGCCGTGCGCCCTTCCCATCCTCTTAACCCAGCTTCTTGCGTGGAATTGTTCAGCGTGCATCAGAATGACTCCTTCAGGACACCCGTTGCTTTCTCAATTCGAGAGCAGCCAAGAAATCCTCTCCCAGACGCGCAGCGGTATTGGATCGCCCTGCACTAATGACAAACCTGTACCTGCTGCATCATCTCCTAAGTCCTCAGGGCCATTTTAGCAGGGAAAAGTCACTCACAGTCCTTTCCTGGCCGATCTCCATTCAGAAGCGGCCAAAACACTTCGGACAGCTATTCCCGTGCAGCGCACTGCACGGTGATTTCCCTGAGCAGACAACCGGGAGCAAAACAAAATAAGGAAATGGAGCCTACCCTAAAGCACACACAACTGACCCAGAACAATGCTCTGTGTCC